AAGTAGTAGAGGTAGTAAAAGTATCAGCAATCAAAAAGATTACTGATCGAAGATATCATTCGAGAAGTATACCCCGGAGGAGTCAATTTTGTAAAAAAAAGAGAGATAAAAACGGTCATGATGAATCCAGAGGATTAGGATTTGAGAGAACACGAAAAATGGATGCGCCTACGCCATTGAAAATGGTTTCGAGCCCTGTTATTTAAAATCTCTAACCATCGATTACTAACATCTCGCGGACCCCGACCAGATAGATGACACCTACCAACACGACTCAGTCCACTTTTTAGTGACTTTATGGAGTTTTGCCGTGTTTTGATCTGGCCGCCTCTAGCTTTCTTCCAGCCTACTCCTACACCGGGTATCATCGTTCACCGAGGCAGTCGGCGGTTAGGAATACGTAACACATGTCCCAACCACCTCAACTGAAGTTTCACTACTTCATCTCTTTATCCGCCATTCTTACCTAATACACATTTTCTAACAACAGGATTGCTTACTCGGTGATCCGTATTCATGAGGATAGCTATACTCAAGAATTTCCAAAAATTAGACTCTGATTTGTAGCTGGCTGATTGACTTATATACTGATTTCAATGTTTCGTTAACTAAACACTTGATCAGTCATAGCCAATTTAGAGCATCTTATAAATAGGCATTGGAACATTAACACAATAAGATGCTGTATCAAAATCTATTTTACTACCCAACTATATTGTCATTTATACATGTGTGTATAACAGCATATATGTGTTTATATGCTTGTCTGTATCTATCATTCCGATACATGTTTTAATTTAATTAAGTACGTTCATCTATCATTTCGGTTTCGCTTTCTATCTCTTTATCTGAATGACATATGAACATCCACAAAGTATTCGAGTATAATGTCCACAAAGTTGTTGCTACAGAGAGTGTGAGAACTTTAGTAGGTTACACCATTTTGAAACCATGAATCGATCAATGTTAGATCGCCATTAGAAACCTGAAAGAAGTGGACGGCCGTTTCGTCCTTGTATGGGACTCATCAGCAGTGCGCAACCACGACTCCTGCACCTCGCAGGATTCGAACCCAGGACCTTCAGTATTGTGCGTGAACGCCTGAGCCATGGACCACTGAGCCGATATCTAGCGGTGTTAATATCTAACTTGATCAATTCACGGCTGATGAGTCCCATACCAGGACGAAACGGCCGTCCAGTGCCTCCAAGTTTCTAATGGTGGTCTAACATTGATCGGTTCATGGTTTCAACAATGTGTAACTTAACAATCTTCACAACCCTGTAATACAGCATTTCTCCTTACCTGTTCCAGCAGCAGTAATTGAAAGCAATGCAACACGACAATCGTCTTCTTTTTGAAATATTTGACTAACAACAGATCTTTGTTCAGAATTTGTCCGACCGTCAATACGAATAAAACGTATCGACTAGTAAAACGGGCAAAAAAGAAATAAAGAAACAAAATAAAAACTAGTAGGTTACTTTTTTTACAGAAACCATTCGATGCAAATAAAATGATTTGAGATGGTCAAGAGCTCGCCATGACAACTAGATGTCTTGGGTCCTGTTTTGTTAAACTTGACTACCTATTATAACGGTGGGAAATGGGTACCGATTGGAAATGGATAAAAATACTGATACAGTAAGATGCAAGCGAGAGGGTAACAGTGTAAGATTGAAGATTTATTATGCTCAAAAATAATTCAGAAACCATAGCTCATATATTCAGTTTTATAGGACTTAGGTACTTGTCAATAATTAGATTGAAATATATTGATCGTAGCTGCCACCTTGACGTGGTGGTCGGGCTTGCCTATCGTGATGACGCAACCGAGCTATATTGGCATGTTCCTGAAGGTTCTACCATGCCAGGCAAGTCGATTGGAAAACGGTGAGACTAAAAGTGGCAATTCAAGGTCTGAGGGCGAAATCGCACTGCTGACTGTAGAGGGGAATGACAGAAGTAAGGTGTTTCCCTCGGACGACCAGCATTTGTAGCGATGCTGCCTTCTCAAAAGGAAGCAAGGGGTTAGAAAAGGTCGACCCTAAAAATGAAACACTTCACCTTATCCCACAGATTTCTGTCTCCGGCGGTAAGGCCATTTGAAGAGCGGAGCTAATAAGCGAAGTAAATAATGGGAAAAGTAGATAAGTTGAAAATGAATTCTTTTAGTGAAATTCCTTTTTACTCTTAAGGTGAAGGTGAACAAATTACAATAGGACTACCATTGATTCGATAACGAATCAAGCCGATGTACCATTTCTAGGATACTAACCAGAGATTCGTGAAGGACTACTGAATGCCAGTCCTTTACAGCTTACCTTAATACTCCTGCACCATGTCATGAACTGAAATTCCCTCAACTTTTTGAAACCAGCTGTAAAATGCCCTGCTAAGGTCTAAGGTAGGGAGAGCCTCCTCACTTACTCGAAATGTTCTCAGATGGCTGCGCACATAAAGTCACTGGCACGAAAGTTTTGTTCACTGAATTATGAAACAAATGTATATTAATCACTTACTTACGCCTGTTACTCCCAATCGAGCATAGGCAGCCGACCAGCATTCTCAAACCTACTCTGTTCTGGGCCTTATTTTCCAGTTCTTCCCAGCTGTTGTTTATTCTTTTCATGTCTGTCCCCAATTCTTGGCGTAATGTATTCCTTGGCCTTCCTCTTTTCCTTTCACCTTGAGGGTTCCATGTGAGGGCTTGTCTTGTGACGCAGTTGGGTGCTTTTCGCAGTGTGTGTCCTATCCACTTCCACCGCTTCTTCTTGATTTCCTTCTCCGTTGGAATCTGGTTTGTTCTCTCCCACAGTAAGTTGTTGCTGATGGTGTTTGGGCAACGGATACGAAGTGTTTTGCGTAGACAACTGTTAAAAGAATACATGTATCTTCTGGATGATGGCTTTCGTAGTTCTCCAAGTTTCCGCTCCATACAGTAGAACTGTATTGACATTTGTATTGAAAATCCTGATTTTGGTGTTAATTGATATTTGTTTGGAGTTCCACAGACTGAAATGTACTCCAGAGTTATTGAAAAACTACATTTTTCATTACTATGATTTCTTCACATTCAACGTGAATTATCAGGATATAATTAACTTGTCTGTTCAAGCCGCATTTTGATTATGGAGATTATTTGAACGTTGTATAGCGCCGAAAAGAATTAAGCATTAAGATAGTTGGCTCGTATAAGTATAATCATTATTAATAACAATAATATAGAATAAGAACTGATAATCCTGATTTCAGTTCTGTTTGAAGTTGTTAGTGGGCATTGCTCAAGAGTTTCAAACTATCATTAAATGTTTTTTAACGCTATTTAGTCTCGGGTTAATTTCAACTTAACCTATCTTCACAAAAACATTATTTAACGAAGTAATATGTTAGCGTGAACACAGTGAACAGCATAACAATCTTGCATGATGTTAACACTTGGGAGTTAACTCAATATTTCGTTGATTGAATGTTCACTGTAACCGCTGTATTGATTTGTGTCGGGTCGCTACATAGGGGTCGTGCATGAGTCCCATAGTATAATTAAATGGCTGTCCATAGAAAAGATCAATCTAAAAGCATTTTTACAAGTAACCACTAAGGTTATTATAATAATAATTAAAAATCAGAAAATTTCATACACTTACTTTTTCTGACAGTAATTTATCAAGACCGTCCAGAACGTCCGTATGATGTGCAAACAGTAGGAATTTGTGACCACATTCAATTAAATCTAAAACGTATTGTCTAAAAATATAAATGTTTATTAAGATAAAAATAAAAGGTAATCATTTCAGATTTATCAATCATGTTATGTATAGATACAGTGATACAGTGAGTTAGAAGTGGACGAACAACAAGGTCATTTGATGACCATCGGAAAATACCCTAAAGAACAGATAGCAAGCCTTTTCAATTTGTTTTTATTAAATAAAAGGAAAAGAGCAGATTTGAAATCATTCGTAATCTTAAAAATCATAACAACTGACACTTTGAAACAAGTATATAGGTAAATATTTTGCGGGATGTGTTAACAAGAGGCAGACATCGAGGTAAAACCGAAAACTATGTACAGAGAGGATTGGTGGAGACTGGAAATTTCATAGTTTACATCTTATTAAAAATGATAAAGCACTAGGAAGCTGTTTTGTCCGTGAAAGAAACTCCACAATAGTATATAACCACAACCCTACTCATTAGAGATCAATTGACCTCTAGACCATTGATTTGACACCCAATAGTTTAAACGTCGAGCAACCACCTCTGATTGTCATCGGTGAATAACTCACTCACATTCAATATGGTTGGACATTATTAGTCATGAATTTTCACCAGAACCCTAGAAATCATACATTGAAGTTAGCCCCTACTGAGAAAAGTGTCTTTCATGCAGGAAATAAACATTTACTAGTACAACTGACGCATAAGTTTTCTAAGAATCCATAGATAAGAAAACAAACTGCGAATACTTTGTTGATATTAATATTTGGGGACCATCTTATTTAAGATATTGACACCAGTATTTGCCGATAGTCACATTCATTAATTTTTTTAACTTATTTTCCAAGGGCTAGGTAAGTATGATTGACTTTAAATCATGCTTTCGAGGGAATATAAGAAGGCTCTTACGAACCAACTTAAACTCTTCACTCAACCCACAAACTACACCGCAATCGTCAAATTCAAGTTTTCTCATGTATTGCTGGAATCCTTCCTACACAGGTTACGGCGCAACGAAAGTCATGCATTACCTAGCAACCACCTAGCCCTGGCCTTCTTAACGTCCATTCGGAAAAATCCCGAGTAGATCATTAGCGGACGAATCGATGAGGTTGCTCCAGACCTACATAAAGTTATAGAATGATAGTCCCAGGGAAAAACAAGACCAGAATCCACAAGTTGCCGTGATGACGACTTCGTGTATCTAGCAGACCTTTACTACCATTTATACAAAGCTGAGCCTACCCTCCACAAGGACCCTATCGTATCGATACAGATGGTTAGAAGTCAGATGCGACCTCGGCAACATTTAGCCATAGCACCATAAGAGTTTCATGTTTCTGGAGGAAACCACACAGATGTAGCCGTCAGAGCAGCCATAACTTCCAAACGGCTTCAGTTATGCACTTCACCAACTCCTCAAATAGCCATTAAACTACCTTCGTACCAAAAGCTCCATTTATATGCGTCGCTGATTAGATAACCAGGCTTTTGGCTTCATTAAGAAAGTCATGGCTACTTATACTTGCTCATTGGTGCGTGCTTATGAGATATTCAATTAGGATAGTGTAGGTTTCCAAAAGCCACATGTTTTATTTTGAGATTCGCACTCATAACATCAACATGTTTGTATAATTAAGAATATCAAATCATTACTTAACTTGTAGCTATTTATTAAATTTTTTTTAAAAAAACTAAGGAAATAACCTACTCTATAGCAGGAAGTTTTACCGCACCAGTTGCATGGAAGTATTCAAACAGAGCAGAACGTTTCTCTTTACTCTATTCGAAATAAAATAAAAACATTTATTTTATATATATATATATATATATATATATATATATATATAAATATATATATATATATATATATATATATATATATATATATATATATATATATATATATATATATATGGTAATGATATCCCTTCATCTTCTCATTAAAAATCAACTTACCGATAATTTATCCGTTAACATTGTTTTCGCATGTCTACCAAGACTTCCTTTTTTAATTATACTTGGATCTAGAACAACTAATTCACGACGTTTCGCTGGTAATTGTGATAAGACATCAGCTTTAACTCGTCTATTAAAAATAAACAAGCAGACAAAGAAAATACCGAGAAGATACTATTGTTAGAAGGATGATCAATAAACGATCAATTAAGGAAAATTAGATAGCAGCAAAAGTAATGACGTTACTATGTGGAGTGTTCCTAGATGTCATGATATGTTTAAGAGTGAAGAAAGTTCGCCCTCCTCAAAATATCCTCATATGGTTACATATTTTTAGTCTATAGCAGAGAAGTTCTACTAAGTGAGTTTACATGGTGCAAGTACCGTTTACGCAAGCATTCGGTGCATTAAATGAGTTGATGGATATGAGAAGCTCGTGTGCTGTTACGGGTATGAGGGCGGTTGTCACTTCCCGGCTGCCCACACCATGGAAGGTTGTTTCTTGAGGAACCTGAAAAGGAAGATTGATTAGTGCCGGTCCTAGAGATCTGGGAGCGTGACCGCACGCACGGCCTTTTGATGAAAAGTTTTTTTAGTATTATCTCCGATCTTGAAAGCCCTTAGTGGGCACCCTAACCACTGGAGACGGAAATCCGTGAGGTAGGGTGAGGTGTGACATTTTTAGGGTCGACCTTTTCTAACCCCTTTCTTCCTTTTGAAAAGGCAGCATCGCTGCAGATGCTGGTCATCCGAGGGAAACACCTTTCTGCTGTTATTCCCCTCTACAGTGCGATTTCGCCCTCAGACCTTGAATTGCCACTTTTAGTCTCACCATTTTCCAATCGACCTGACTGGCATGGTATACCCTACAGGAACACGTATTCCAGCCAATATAGCTCGGTTGGGTCATCACGATAGGCAAGCCCGACCACCACGTCAAGGTAGCAGCTACGGTCGGGATATGAGAAGCTCACATAGGACAGTTGAGAAACTAAGGTTGTAAACCAAATAGTATAAACGAGCTCCAGTGTGATAAAGAAACGAATGGAGTATAAACCTATTTTGATTACCGGGTAACATGTAACGGAATTTTTGGATTTTGTCTCATCACCTCGAGGATTAGACTGGGGGAGTACCCCACTGAAGAAACTATTCGGTTTATGTTAAGCAATTGTACAGTATCTCAGCCAACTTGCAAATACGATAATGAACCATGAGGAGATTTATATGCTCACCTTTTCAGTTGTGAGGAATACTTTAAAATGTCATTTATATACAAATGTCCAAATACAATCAAATAATCTAGTAATCAAGAACCCATGAACTTTCGTGGTATATATGAAGAGTAATTTGGTTTTTTATTTACAATTTATGCTTATTAGTAGTATTGTTAGAAATATTAAATTGCCAAATATTAAGAAGAAAACAATTCTTGAAGAAAAATACACATTTGGACTAAAAATGATTTTATGTACATTCGACTTTGATTGAATTGTCACTTGTATTCATTAATGTAATCAGTATAATAAATGAACAAATTCGAATGTGAATTATTTTTATTTAGTCTCTATCAAAATAAATATTCACTAAAAGATTGATCTTTTGTGGTAGCAGGCGATAGGAGGCTGAAAAAAGAAATTGCTGTAACCTATTGTCGATGTATAGTATCGCATTCGTTTAACATATCGAATTAAACATCTGCTGCTTTCTAGTTATGTGATCAACTTACTAAGAACAACTGGTTTTAAGTCACTGCTTGTGTAAGGGCTGTTTGTAATGCTTAGTTGCTCGAAAAGAAGTAGGATACGGACGTGTGATTTAACAACTGAAAATCAACTGTTTGAACTACTAGACTATTATTGGACTGAGCCATGTAGGTAGGTATGGACTACCTTATTAGATTCGCTGAGATTATCCTACCTGATAGGTATTGAGTGACATGGCTTAAAATCAGTTGCAACGGAAGTGATACACTCATCACCTGTCTTTCCTTAGACTCTGAGTTTCAAAATTATCGCACACCTTTTATTCCACGAATTTTTTCTTCACGAATGGTAGCGTTTATGTCCAATCATTTTCGCCACCAATAATGCTGTCGCCACTTCCACTCAGTCAGTCAGTTGCAATGTAGAACTTCGTACGTATGTACATAAGTTCATGTTTCCATACCACATTAGCACAGAGACGCAAATGTCAAATCAAATCTTATAGTGATAGAGATAGTAGAAGTATTAATGGTAATGAAGATGACTAGGTTTTAAAGATATTATTCAAGAAGTATAATTCAGTGAGATAAGGTTAGAAGGACAAAGTTAGAGGTGCTGACGAATCCAGAAGATTACGATTTGAGAGAGCACAATGAATAGATGCACTTGCGTCATTGCAAACGATTTTGAGCCATGTCATTCGAGCTCTCTAACCATTGGTGACTTTCGTCTCGCGGACCCCAACCAGGTAGTCTCCATCTACCAACATGACTCAGTCCACTTGTCACTGCTATAAGAAAGGACAGAAGTCTTCTTGTGACAATCACAGGGGAATAAGTCTAACTAATATAGTATCTAAAATATTGGCCTCAGTAATACTTCGACGCTTAACGAAAGCTCGTGAAGAGCAGACTCGAGAAAACCAATCTGATTTTCGACCTGGACGTGGCTGTATAGACCACATTTTCACACTCAGACAGGTCCTGGAACATAGACACACATTTAGGCGTCCTACAATAGTTGTTTTCCTAGACCTTAAGGCGGCATTTGACTCTGTGGATCGTGAGGTTCTGTGGCAGTGTCTGTCATTGAAAGGTGTACCAAAGAAGTACATTAACCTCATACAAGCTCTCTACTCAAACACAACTGGTCGAGTGAGAGCTTATGGCGAACTGTCACTGGAATTCTCTACTTCAATTGGTGTCCGTCAAGGATGTCCACTCTCTCCATTCTTGTTTAACTTTGTCGTAGACATCCTCTTAGAATTAACATTAAGCTCGTCAGATTTTTCAGAGGTGGACCTTCTGCCAAGAAAATCGCTTACTGATCTAGAATATGCCGATGACATAGTTCTATTCGGTGAAGGCGCTGACAAAATGCAGAGTCTTCTGACTACCCTAAGCAACAATGCAAGCATGTTCGGGATGCGGCTTTCCCCCTCGAAATGCAAAATGTTGCTTCAAGATTGGGTTGCATCGCCACCTGAACTAGTGATAGGGAGTGAAGTAGTCGAGTGTGTAGACCGCTTCACTTATCTTGGGAGTCTCATCAGTGCTGATGGCCTGGTGACTGACGAAATCTCAGCTCGGATACAGAAGGCTCGATTGGCTTTTGCCAACCTGCGTCACTTATGGCGTAGGCGAGATATCCGTTTGCTGACTAAAGGACGAGTGTACTGCGCAGTAGTTCGCTCCGTCTTACTTTATGGCTGCGAAACATGGCCAATGAGAGTAGAAGATATTCGTAGGTTACTGGTTTTCGATCATAGATGTCTTAGAAGCCTTGCTCGTATATCCTGGGACACCCGAGTGAGCAACGCTGTTATTAGGAAACGGGTACTAGGTAAGAATGGCAGATCAATCGATGAAGTGGTGAAACTTCATCAGTTGAGGTGGTTGGGACACGTGTTGCGTATGCCTAACCACCGACTGCCTCGTCGTGCTTTGTTTTGTAGTGTAGGAATAGGTTGGAAGAAAGCTAGGGGCGGCCAAACCAAAACATGGCAGAAATCCATGAAGTCATTGACGAGTGGACTTAGCCATGTCGGTAATTGTCTACTACCTGGTTGGGTTGAGATGATAATAATCGATGGCTAGAGACCTTGAATGACATGGCTCAAAATCGTTCGCTATGGCGCCAGTGCATTTATTCTCTGTGTCCCCTCAAATCCTAATCTTCTGGATTCTTCAACCCCTCTAGTTTTGACTTTCTAAACTTATCTCATTGAATCATACTTCTTGAATAATATCTTCTAATTCTAACCTCTCCGATTACTTCTAATATCTTTACTACCTCTTCTACTATTGGATTTGAATTGACAATTATATCTCTTTGCTGATGTGGTATGGCGACATGAACTGATGTACTTACGTACGAAGTTCTACGTTGCAACTGACTGACTGACCACTTGTCACTGACTTCAAGGATTTCTGCCATGTTTTGGTCTGGCCGCCCCTAGTTTTCTTCCAACCCACTACTACATCAAAAAACATTGCTCGACGAGGTCGTCAGTGGTTAGGCATTCGTAACACATGTCCCAACAACCTCAACTGATGAAGTTTCAACACTTCATCTATTGATCTGCCATCCCTACCTAAAACTCGTTTCCTAACGACAGCAGTGCTTACTCGGTAGTCCCACGTATACTAGCAATGCTTCTTAAACATCTATGATCGAATACAAGTAACCTACGAACATCTACTCTTAACGGCCATGTTTCGCATCCATATATGAGAACGGAGCGAACTGCTGCGCAGTACACCCGCCCTTTGGTTAGCGAACGGATATCACGCCTACGCCATAAGTGACGCAGGTTGGCAAAAGCCAATCGAGCCTTCTGTATCCGTGCCGAGATTTCGTCAGTCACCATGCCATCAGCACTGATGAGACTCCCAAGATAAGTGAAGCGGTCTACACGTTCGACTACTTCACTCCCTAACACTAGATCAGGTGCCGATGAAACCCAATCTTGAAGCAACATTTTGCATTTCGAGGGGGAAAGCCGCATCCCGAACATGCTTGCATTGTTGCTTAGGGTAGTCAGAAGACTCTGCATTTTGTCAGCGTCTTCACCGAATAGAACTATGTCATCGGCATATTCTAGATCAGTAAGCGATTTTCTTGGCAGAAGGTCCACCTCTGAAAAATCTGACGAGCTTAATGTTAATTCTAAGAGGATGTCTACGACAAAGTTAAACAAGAATGGAGAGAGTGGACATCCTTGACGGACACCACATGATGTAGACAATTCAGATAAAAGCTCGCCATATGCTCTCACCCGACCAGTGGTGTTCGGGTAGAGTGCATGTATAATGTTAATGTACTTCTTTGGCACACCTTTCATGACAGACACTGCCACAGAACCTCACGATCCACAGAGTCAAATGCCGCTTTTAGGTCCAGGAACACGACTATTGTCGGACTTAC